GAGAGAGAGAGAGAGAGAGAGAGAGAGAGAGAGAGAGAGAGAGAGAGAGAGAGAGAGAGAGAGAGATGGGTAATGGTTAGAAAAGCAGGATGGAGAAGACCAGGTGAAATGGAGGCAAGGATATGATGTTGAGAACCAGCAGCAAAGAGTGATGTGTCCCTGTGGTGTGTGAACTGTTATCTTCTTGGCCACAGGTTGATGAAGGAGACCGGGAGCGCAAACAGGGCAGCAAATCCCAATGGAGCGAGGAGGAGCATCGATCTTATCTGGATGACATGGAGGCCAGTTTTGTTCGTGGTCTCTATGATCGCCAATATGCAGACTTTGAGTACACGCAAGACTGGTCACAAGAGCGGTCACAAGAGCGGTCACAAGACGAGGGATCATCCCTGAAGTCTCCTCTTGGCCGCAGTGACAGCTTCCGATCCGTTGGAAAAGGCTCAACCAGGCCCAACCAGGTAAGCGAAAAGGAATTGGACCTCATATTCCAGTCTCTTCGCTGTGACCTTGTTGTTGTGCACGTGCAAACGTTTGATTGCGTTGGTGATTTGTGTGCCGAGCATCTGCGACGGGCTTGAGATATCATTGCCGAACTGAGCGGCCCAACGCAATTCACGAATTCTTTTCGTTTAGTGCCCATCTGGATTTGAACACAGGTCTGTATTTCAACAGTTTGTAGGCATACCAACTGAGCTAGGCCCGTCGTCGGTGCCACAATCTGCACTTGGTTTCTTGGGTCACATGATTGCAAGCTGTCTGTCATGACTGAGCTTGCTGTGGACGTGTTCAGTTATTTGAGTGTGCGGCGTGCGCTGAATATTTCTGGGAAACAACATCTGACTGTGGTGGTTTGCCCAGGTTCTCAAGCTGCTTTTGTTCTATCACACTGAGCGCGCTGTGGACATGCAGAAGTACTTAATTGATTGCACAGCTGATTTCTGTGACTGTGTGACACTATCTAAGGTTGCGGGTTTTCAGTGTTAGCTGTCTGTGGTGCATGTTTTTGGCTTCTGATCAAAGGAAACACCCTAGCCCAGGAAAAAAAAAAAAAATCACTACAGCTGCATTTGGGGCAAGTTTTGGTCTAGATGCAGGGATAATGCCCGCAGAAGAATCATATGTGGCAAGCTCTAGTCTAGATGCAGGGATACTGACCGCAGAAGAATCATGTCAGACCCTGTGTTTGTCACCTCTCAATCACATTACATAGTAGTTTTTTTTCCGTCTACCGTCTTCTCCTCCAAATGGAGCGTACGGTCATGAGAGCTGTATTTGTGGAAAGTTTAGTCTAGATGCATGGACAACGACTGTACATTTTCTATTGGGGTGAAGATGGTGGGGGCTAGGAAGTGGGAAAAGGAAGGGGAACAACATGACAGTCTTTCCGCTTTACTGTCTAGTGTACTTATTGTTCTTCTGGGCCATTTTTATCTTCACAAGAAAAAAAAAAAAGTTACGATCTGCGAGGAGGAAGAGAGAACTAGGAGGAGAGGGAGAAGATGATTCCAAAAGAAGGGTGTAAAAGCGTTAGCTTCCTTAAGAGGTCACAGTATATCTGAGGAAGATGAGTAGGAGAGGAGAGGAGAGGAAAACATCACGACGAGAGGAAGGGTGTGGATGGAGATTGAAGAATAAGAAACCTTCGACAAGCAAGGCTGTGCCATTCTTCATGAAGAAGGGAAGGGATTCTTGCTGATGATCAAGTGGACTGTCGGGTGCTTGTCTGACTTGTCTCTTGTTGCCAGGTGCCAGCATTTCTTCAGTACGAAGGTACGGCTGTACTGTTGTCGTATGCGAATTCTTCTGCTTCATCAAGTCGCTTCAAGGGTGGGGACAACGGCAGTGCAGGCGGGGATAAAACTCTGCCGAGCACACCTTTGTCGGCCAAGCGAAAAACTGTCGAGAAATCGATGCAGCCTTGTCCAATATTCATGCCTTGGCCTTTTGCGCTAGAAGGCGGTCGGCGAGCAGTTTGTCTATCCGATCCGTTCCCTATCCTAGGGACCCGAACTCAGATCGGGAGCAACTGGTCTGTTTCCGGTTCACCCTGTTCCGTGCCGGGCTATGGACAAGTGGGAGAGAACAGCTTGGAAACTGACAGAGTACCGAGGGCGGAGGATACGCACCCTGATGATAGAGGCGTGCAACAGGACCTCGCTGAGGGCATGGAGGAAGATAACAATGAGGAAGAGGAACGAGATGAAGAAGAGGTGGATGCAGAAGAAGACGAAGAGATGGGTTTAGAGGATGACGAAGAAGAGGTGGAGGTAGAAGAGGAGGACGAAGAGGTGGAGGGAGAGGAAGAAGAAGAAGAAGTGGACGCGGAAGAAGACGAAGATGCACCACAGCCAGGGGCAGAGGCGGAGGAGGAGGAGGAGGAGGAGGAGGAGGAGGACGGGGTGGACGCAAGAGATGAGTACGAACATGCGGCGGACCTAAGTGAAAACGAAGAATCAGGAGAGATGGAAGAGGGAGAGGCAGAGGACGATGAGGGAGAAGTGGAGGATGCTGTCACTCATGATGACGAGGGTGGGCAGAACAATGCGTCGCCGGTGGGTAGAAGGGAAACACTCCAATCGGCCGAATCGCTAGCGTTGGATGGTTCATCAGAAGAGGCTCCTCAGGTGGTTGACGCGGAGGAGGACGTGGCGACGGTGGCTCCTTCCGCAGCATTTCCGAAGCTGGTCGAAGAGCCAGTAGATATGCGTGCACAGTCCGATAGGCCCCGAGCTTCAACAGAGAGTTGGACCATGTTTGGGCGAAGATTCGTCTTTCCAGCTCCTCCGCCAATGCAGCTGCAACGAGGAGGTGAGAACCATTCATTACCCACCACTCTCATACCCTAAAGGGAGGGATTTAAAAGGGCCTTTACCCGATATAGGCCTCAGGCCTTGTAAAAATAGAGCAGCACGGGCCTTGTAAAAGTAAAGCATTGTGAAAAGGTATCTTGCCAGGGCTCAGAAACGTGAAAACAGGTCAAAAGTCAAGTTCTCTAT